CTCTCTCTCTCTCTCTCTCTCTCTCTCTCTCTCTCTCTCTCTCTCTCTCTCTCTCTCTCTCTCTCTCTCTCTCTCTCCTGAAGCATGTACTCTCTCGTCTCTACTTAATAAACTCACTAACCCTCTTTCACTCCGGCTCATCCTGTGGCATAGTCAAGGTCTGGCTTCACAGAGTGGAGGTCCCCAGTGCCCCTCAATTCGCTGCTCAGCACTGATAATTCTATTACAAAGACAAGAGGGGGTCCAGCAGAGGGGGCTGCGGTGGCAAAACCTGGTCTTGACTTCTGACCTGGAAGGCTCCTTCCACGTCTCTCTCAGCTCTACATGCTGAGGTCATGTTCTCGACCCTGAGCCAGGAAGCCAGGCTGCCAGCGGTCCCCACCCTTCCCTCTCTTCTCTGATGAGACCATTGCTCTTGACCCTTCCAGATGTTTCCATGGTCCCCTTGGCCCTGACCCTCCCTGTCCAGTCACCTGAGGCGCCAGCACAGGGATGTAGTAGAGCTGCAGGCTGAGTCTAGGAGTGAGGCAGAACTTCTTGGCTTCCCGTTTCCTGGCAACAGGCAACAAGGTAGAGCGGTAGAGTGGGTAAGAGCCTGGGGTTGGGTGTTGGCATCAAATAGTCTTAGCTTTACTGTTTATCATGTATTGACTTTGGGTAATTTATACAAGCTTTCTAAGCCTCCGTTTACCCATTTATGAAATGGGAACAGTTGTCATTTCCTGTCAAGCTGATGGCTAGGCACTGGGGATACTCTGCAATGTTCTCCCTTACCCGCCCTGGCCATTCCTCCTGTTCCTCTAATACCTATTTGGACCTTTTACCAGCTCATTCCAGACCCATCCACACTCCCAACAACTCCAGTTCCCAGTCCCTCCTCAGGTCCTACCTGAGTCTGTAGTAAGCCTGGGCCAAGCGACCCAACATCCTATCGTCTCCCAGCACGAGCACACGGGCTGTATGCACCCTGGAGACTCCAGGCAGTAGTTCCCCGTCCCCACTGGGCCTGCCGGTCCTCCGATGCAACCCTGGGGGTCCATCCCAGCTGCCAGGCATGGAGAAGTCCGGGGGCCACACACGCTTCTTGATGCCCCCCTTGCGCTGCAGTGCAGCCCGCTCCATCTCTGAGCTGCTGGAATCGGGGAGCTCGTCACTCCCCAAAGGAAGATCTCGCTCAATCCCACTGTCAGTGGACACCCTGGCCAAGTCCCTGTCTGGCCTAAGTCCTTGTAGATCCAAGGCCTCTAAGTCAGCACTGAGGCGCAGCTGGGAGCGGGGACGAAGGAAGAGCACCAGTTCCTTCCCTGGAACAGGAGGACAGGGGAGTGTCAGAATGGCAGGGACCCCTGAGGTTGACAGGACAGCTCCCCAGAAATCTGGGACCCCTGTTTCACAAACACTGTCCACTTGAACAGAAGCCCCATGGGACACTCCACAAAGGGTGACGATCCTGTGGTCAACAACGGTCCAGGGTTCTATGCACTCCAGCTCCCACCCATTGAGGCCAATCGATAGATATATTTATATTTCTTTTTCTCTTTCTTTTTATTTCCTCTTTTCTCTTTCTTTCTTTCTTTCTTTCTTTCTTTCTTTCCTTCCTTCTCTCTCTCTCTCTCTCTCTCTCTCTCTCTCTCTCTCCCTCTCTCCCTCTCTCCTCTCTCTCTCTCTCTCTCTCTCTTTCTTTTTTTTTTTTTTCTCTAGCCGGGCTTCTCTATACAGCCTAGCAGTCCTGGAACTCACCCTGCAGACCAAGATGACCTGGAGCTCACTGAGATCTGACTGCCTTTGCCTCCTGAGTGCAGGGATTAAAGGCATGCACAACCATACCTAGCCAATCAGTAAACGTATTACAAAGCACTGAGAACCCCAGCACTAAAGAAATTAGCTAAACCCAGCACCTCTCACCTTTAACTGACCCTGGAGCCCTCCCAACCCCCCACTTCCTGAAGCTTGCTTCGGGACACAGGTACCAGACCACTAGCTCCAGAAGACTTGCAGGTTTTCTGAACCCGCTTCTAGGTCCAGAGAGAGAATGTATTGAACACGACCCAGCACACAAAAGGAAGAGTCCAGCCTATTACTTCCTATCACAGTTGGAGTCCTTGTCCTCACTCTCTAGAGAAGCCAAGAAGATTGGAATAGGTCAAAAGAATAGAAGGAAACATTTGTTCTGGAAGGCCCCTCCAGGTCTGGGTGCCATAATGGGTTCTGCTTGCCTCCCTTATGGGGACATTGATGACATCAACATGGGCACAAGACCCATGTTAATGCACTGGGTTATTCCAGTCTGGAGAAGAAATTCTCTTTGTCCAGACATGTGGAACAACTCAGAGAACAAAACTTGAACCCAGACAGGAACCCAGACATCTGTGCACACACACACACACATACACAGAGAGGATCCCAGACTTGTGAACACACACAGACAGATAGGAGCCCAGACATGTGAACACAGACGGACAGGAGCCCAGACATGTGAACACACACAGACAGGAGCCCAGACTTGTGAACACACACAGACAGGAGCCCAGACTTGTGAACACACACACACAGACAGGAGCCCAGACTTGTGAACACACACACAGACAGACAGGAGCCCAGACATGTGAACACACACAGACAGACAGGAGCCCAGACTTGTGAACACACACACAGACATACACTCAGCCATTTCTACAGGAGCTCACAGGCTCGGGCACGTACAGAGCTGCTCCTGGTCGGTCCACAGGTGGAAGGTGATGTAGGGGCTGGGCAGGGGGGTGCTTGGCAGTCGGTCTTGAAGAAGGTCACCTGAAGAAAGGGATAGGCTGTGGGACTGTGAGGAGAAGGGGTATAGGCAAAATAAAAGCCCAGAGAGACTGAGGGAAGGGAGTCAACACAGTCCTGCCCACTCTGTCCAGCCTGGGCTGCCAAGTACAAGCTTGAGTGTGCTTGGCACACTGACTTCTGGACAGTTTCCAGCCCATTCCCTTGCACTTTGTAACTGTTACGGTTAAAGAAGCTCCATTTTATGCTAGGCATCCATCGTGGTACCCACCAGCCATTTGTCTCTGACTCTACTCCCTGGAAGATCAGTTCCCAGGAACACTGACTCAGTGACCCCTCATCCAAAAACATACAGCCATAACTATCTCCTTGTTATGATATAACTAACTGCTTTTTTCTCTTCTGTAATTTGCTTACTCAGATACACAAAGATAATTTTGAGTTGCCTTAACCACCTAACTAGGCAGAACAGAACAGGTTTTACTTGCTTGCATGGATGTGGAAGAGCTTCATGGGGTTTTCCCCTTTAAAAGTCCTTCCCCCATCCCTCCTTCACGGCAGTGTCAAATTCAGCTCAGAGAGTGTTCATCCTGCTAGCAGCTAATCAATAAACTTTTAATTATAATTGGATTGAGTCTTTGGTCATTTCCCAGGGGTCACAAACCCCATAAGAGTGATCATATATTCTGACACACTCAGGCTGACATGTTCCATGGATGCTTTGGGTGACTGAGCAGCAGGACGCACACTGGAATGGTCCCTACCATGATCAGGACACACGTGTTCTGGGATGTTGAAGCCCATCCACGGACCTTGCTCCCCTGGGGGTGTGGCACTGCCTTATCAACATTCAAATAGAAAGGTGTGCAGAGTACAACCCCGAGGGATAAACAATGCTGACACATCCCATTCTGTGGAGGTGTTCTGGGGACTGAATCTGTTAGTTACTATGCCACAGCAAGATTCGAATCCTGGTTCTGCCACTCACTAGCTGAGTGACAGGCTGCTGACATTTAAACCTCTTTCAAATCAGTGTCTAAGTCTCCTCTGTAAACATTGTTTTGCTTTTCCTTTTTTTTTTTTTTTTTTTTTTTTAGCTTTGAGGTCTGCCTCTGCCTCCTGAGTGCTGGGATTAAAGACGTGGTGTGCCACCACTGCCCGGGCCTGGCTCATTTTTACTTCTTTATTGTACAAATTATTTGGTTTGGCACGTCATAGATTTAAATACAGGTTAAATGTTTAGAACAGCTAATGGGATAAAGCGGGGCACTTTGCAGGTGTGGGCAATCATGATCACTGTTAACCACTCTTTAGCCCCAGGCCTGCCAAGTCCAGACAGACCCCAGAATCCTGGACTGTATCTGAAATCTCATTCTGTCCAACCTAGCTCTTTGGCGCCCCCTGCGGTCGGCGGTCCCTTGGCAAGTCCCCACCGGCCCCGCTTACCGACGCAGCGCCTTCTTGCGGCCGCCGGCCCTAGCAGCGAGCAGTAAATCTCCTCGAGTCTCTCCAGGTGTCCCAGCCGGCTGGGGCTGTCCTCGCTAGCCACCTGCTCTATGGCAGCCACTACAGCGTGGAAATAGTATTCCAGGACGCGACGGGAGCTGGCCTACAAGGACGGACACCAGAGCTTGAGTCCTATCCTTCAGCCCACCCACTCCACTCCTATGCCAAACTGGGCGGGACCACCAACAGTCCCGCATGGCACGTTCCTTTGGTTCCTGGGGGCTGGGCAGGAGCTGCCAGGTGAAGGATTCGGGATTCCACGTCTAGAGCCTGGGTTTCTGTCGGGCTATGGTTGTGGCCCCCTGTTGCCTGTGGCTAGACAGTGGTTTCATACTCTATAATGGGGGGATAGTTATGAAGAGTCCACCAAAATAAAGGATTCAAGATGTGGGGTTCAGACCGGAAAATTTCGGATGCAAAACTAGAACAGAAGAGCAATACTCCAATGCAGTTTGAATGGGCGGAGCCAGGTCTGAATAATAGGCTGGGGGGGGGGTCGCTGACATCCTTCCCACTTCCTGAATCAGGGTGAGCAGGGGACGACTGAACCCTCCCTCTGGGTGCCTGGTTCCTCCCCCTGCAGCAGGTCTCTCCATCTTCAGCCTGCCTCCAATCCAGTCTTGCCCAGATTTCCCTGCTACCCACAGAGGGTCACTCCTAATGGCTTCAGTCCTCCCGTTCCCCATCCGCCAGAAGTTCAACCCCTGGTGCTCTTAGCCAGAAGGATTTCTTGGACTAAGGCGGACTCAGCATGGGGGAGGGGGGCGTGGGATGGGAGTAGCGGGCAGTGGAGGGCGGGGAGGCGGGGGTGAGGTGGAGTGGCAGTGGCGGTGGGGTAGTGGTGGTGGAGTTGGTGGAATAAGCCTTGGGAACAGCTGGCATGTCAGACAACAGGAGTAGAACACTGGATAAATGTAACAGTAAATGCATACTGTGTAGCCATTACCAGTACATCTTTCCCAAGGGATATGTTTGCACAGCCATGTTTCTAACGTCTAACAGGAAAATACATATTATATAAAGCAGTTGACGAGTTTAGGACTCCATGTGTCAATAAGGAGTCGGAATGGGGGCCAGACATTTTAGCTCAGTCTCTTTGTTTCTGTGTGAGCATGAGTAGAGGACCCATTTCTCTGTGCCTTAGTTTCCCATCTATAAAGGCAGATGGTGACTGCTTTTCACAGTGATGTGGGAGAATGTTACAATGTCATCAAGTTTAGCACAGTGTCTGGACCAACAGTAGATAAACTGGTTATTAAATCATCAGTGTTATCATTATTAAGGATATATACCAAATGCTCATTTCTGCTTTTTTTTTGTTTTTGTTTTTTGTTTGTTTTGTTTTGTTTTGTTTTTTCTAGACAGGGTTTCCTCTGTAGCTTTGGAGCCTTTCCTGGAACTAACTCTGTAGACCAGGCTGGCCTCGAACTCACAGAGATCTTCCTGTCTCTGCCTCCTAAGTGTTGGGATTAAAGGTATGTGGCACCTCCACCTGGCTCTGTTATTCCTAAGAAGTTTCTTTTGTGTGATTTTTATTTTTGTCTTTAAGGGGCTTATCTGTATTTTTTGTATTTCCTTTAATAAACATGCATGAGTTGTTGATTTGTGGGGGAAAGGGTGACGTGGAAGAGTTCTGGGAGTGCCCAGGGTGGGGTGTTAATTACCTGCAGCTTCCTGTTCAGAGCACCTGTGTGGCAGGCGTCCCCCAGAGCTGCCTGCAGGGCGTGAGAGACCACATGGCGCATGCAGGCCTCAGGTGTCTGCTGCTCCTGGGCCGCCTCAATCTCCAGCAGCAGGGCGCTGCACACGGAGGCAGAAACCAGCTCAGGGTCCACGAACAGGAACACTCTGGGGGCAAGAGTGGAAGGAAGGGGCTGGCTGGACACCCCCAAAAGCTTGGATGGAGATCCCAATTATAAAACACCTTTGCTAACAAAAGCAGTTTCTAGTGGTTAATTCCCCTAAAAAGAGAAGCTTTGGGTTAGGAAGCCCATCGTTGATTGGAACGACAACCACGAGAAGAGTGGACGCAGCAGCTGGCGTCTCACAGCCCTTTCAGACCTGTGAGTTCCCTCAACTGCAAGGTTCCACGTGGGGGATGAGGTTAAATTCTTCATCCAGGAAGTTCCAGTCTGAGTCCTGCTTTCTGGTCTTCAGCATCCTGGTCCAGTGCTCATCACCCTTTGGGGAGACCTTAAACCTCTCCTTCTGGTAGTGGAGCACTGGCCCACATAAGCCTCATCTTTGCTCATCACCCCCATCAGGCCAGAAAACTGACTCCCGCACACTTCCCTTCCCCAGGAAACTATGCCATGCTCTCTCCTCCAGCACTAATTCCCCTGCTGCCCTGTCGCTCCGCCCCCTTCCTGAGCACAGCTCCCAAGTCTCAAACCTACATGGTGCTGCTCAGGTAAACCCACAGACTTGCCTGCAGTAGAGAGAGGCACTTACTCCCGCTGCACCCTCCTTCCCCTTACCATTTTTCTTCCAAACAATAGCCAGGGACACTCTTCGGTCTAATCTAATGGCTGAGAATTCATTGAGGAAAGCCCCCAGGGTCCAGTCCCTGTAGCTACCACTGATTTGATTGGATGAGGCTTCTTTGTGGCACAGAAACAGGATGTGGGGAGGCCTGAAGACGGAACAGCAGCACTGCCCTGAACCATGTGGTTCTTCTGCCCAGGAGCAGGGTCACTCTGTACCCAGCCAATGCAGAAAGGCCCAGAAAACGGTATAGCCACCACCCTTGACCTGGAAGTGCGTGCCACTATCGGGCCAGTGTGGAAGCTCTGGTAAGATTATCTCTTTGCCTGGCCTCCTCTTCCTTTCTCCTGCCAGTGAACAGTTGTGAGGTACCCAACACTCTGAGGGAGCCGCAGGGAGCAGCCACCCCCAGGCCTCTTACCTCTCCTGGTAGGGGTACAGTTCACTTATCAGGTTCTGCTCCGCAATGACAGTCCTTTGGAACAGTGTACCTGCAAACCAGACCGCATCAGCGAGCCAGCCTCTGGGTCTCTGACTCCAGTTCTCCTGGAAGGAGCCTAGAGTTTTGAGCTCTTGGGCATCCTGGAGAAAACAGCATGCTGTTGGGTGGTGCCGCGTTGCAGCATGGGAGGCCAGGACGCCCAGCAGCCCTCACCTGGGATGGCTGCCTCGGTCTTCAGCCTTATGGCACAGTCCAAGGCTACCGTCGAGTAGGGGGCGGGCAGGGTCAGCAGCCTGGTGCAGAAGGTGTAAGCTCTATGGTAGAGATCTTCCGTGACGCCTGTGGCCTGCTGAGAGGGAGGGGTTGACGCTCTGGGTCTTGAAGGGTCTGGGGGTGGCATGAGTTGGGGCGGGTGCGGAAGAAAGAAGGTTGGGACTGACAGCCAGACTGGCTTCGGGCTCTCCACATTCTCTGGTTGCAATGTCTCCTCCCAGTATTTCTGAGACCTTCCTACAATACCTTAGCCAGACAGAAACCCATCACTGCATTCCCGGCAGGTCAGTTCTTTCCCAGCCTTAATGCTGGAGCTATGTGGCGCATTTCTGGGCACCTCCGGGTTTGGAAACTTGGCGCTGCTTCCTCTCTGCACTCCCGTGAATCTCACAGGCATACGGTACCCCACAATGCCCAGAGACTTCTTTCCTCCCCTCCCCCTTCTTCCTCAATGGGCTGATTCCTTTGCCAGAGCCCAGCCCCATCCTCATCCCAGACGCTGCAGTGACACTCCCCATATCCCCCCCAATTCCTTTAACCACAAGTGTAAAACATTGTTTTCTTATGTCTTGTCTCCATGTAGAGACCACCAATTATAAGAAATCAACAATTCTGGTCCATTTTTAGGATGATGTGCAGTTAGAGTTCATCAAAGAGTCACAGACAAGAGGCAGGCACTAGGCCCCTTCTCCTAGCTTGTCTCAGACTCAAGCCCCAGGATATCCATTAGGTAAGGCTTTGCATCCTGGACCAATAGAACTGGGAGCTGGGAAGGGGCCTATGCTAGAGGAGCGTGAAGATGATAACTCTGTGGGGAGAGAGGGCAGGGGTTTCTCGAAATCAGGGACTTAAAAACCTCTGTCGTGTGCCAAAAGGCCACACCAGCCCTTTTTGCCTTTTCTCTGTCTTGGAGCCTGTTCTGCAGAACTGAGTATTAAAAATGGTTTTGTGCAAGGTAGTGGTGGCAAATGCCTTAATCCCAGCACTTGGGAGGCAGAGGCAGGCAGATCTCTGTGAGTTCAAGGTCAGCCTGGTCTACAGAGTAAGGATAGCCAAGGCTGTTTACACAGAGAAATCCTGCTTCAGAACAAACAAACGAACAAACAAAAGCCAGTTTTGTTTTCCTTCATCTCTTGAATTTGTTGCTACAGAGTGAGAATCTTGTTACTCACAACGATGATGTACAAATGAACAGCCCAAGGACCACCCACTATTGAAGATTCTCTATTTGTTCTCCACACTGTCTCAACTACCTCATTGCCTGTCCAATTTAACTCTTTGTAGGAAGGAAAGCACAGAGGGTTTGGGAAGGCAAGACCAGGCTTGCCCTAGCAGAGACTGAGCATCAACTAGGAAGACAGGACAGGGCCATGCGACTTGAAGCTCCTGTCCTGTGGGTGCTGGGAATAGAAACTGGATCCTCCAGAAGAGCAGCAAGTGCTCTTAACCACTGAGTCATCTCTCCAATCTCAGTCACTCAAATTTGATCCCAGAATAAATAATCTCTTAATCCCTTTGAGAATTGTGACTTTTCCCCCCAGCCTCCCGTGAATCACCTTGACCCCAGCCCATCTCACCTTAGTGAGCACGTACATTAGCGTGAGCAACAAGGGAATAAGGACACGCCGCACATCCTCCCTTTCTGCCTGGAAGACAGGAGACCCGTGTGTCATGCCGGGCTGGGTGCTCCAGGGACCACCACATCCTAGCTACAGGTTAGGCCGGAGGTTCCAGAGGATTAGGTGGAAGGCAGTAATATATTATGCCGAGGGGAGTGGAGAGGGGAAGAAGGGAATAGGGTAAGGAGCAGCAAGGATGTAGAAGCCATCTCGGAAGAGCAGGGCAGATGGAGGAATCCTTGTGCAAGGCAGGTAGGGTGGGAAAACTGCATCGACTCCACACAGGAGCCAAAGGTAATTGACAAGCAAGGCCCCAGCTTGGGAGCGGTATTTCCCAAGCAGCAGAGTGCAGGACATGGATAATTTTAAGTAGTACAAGAATAAGACTTAACGGTTGCACACATGTGTGTGGAGTATACACATCTTTCGTTTCTGCCCAGCAATGTAGGTTTTCTGTTTATGGCTATGTTAACCGAGTTTCTTTTTGAAATATGCTGATTCAAGTAAGGACGGGAGTGAAAGAATAGAAAATAGCACTGAGCTAGAAGTCAATGAAGAAGACATGCCTGGTAAAAATAAAGCCTATGGCCCCCGCACGACCCAAGTTTGGGAGCACAGAACTGCACAGGTGGACCCCCAACCTGATGGGGCTCCTCTCTTCACTCCACCCCCCACCCCTGCTTCCCTCAAGCTTGAGCACCAACCTTCTCCAGCTCTCTGAGCAGAATCCGGACCAGGATGGAGCTCTTTCCTGGATCTCGCTCCACCTTCTTATGCAGAGACCATCTCCACATGCCTGGGCCAGAGACAAGGTCATGGCTGAGTGGATGGGAGGCGCCTAGAGGCTATCCCCCCCCCCCAGCCCTCGGTCCTGGAGTGTGATTGGCCAGCTACATCTGAGCCTGTCATCAGAGATGATTCCAGGTACGTGTGGTGAGCTCCTCCCATGGCTCTTTCTGGACTGTGAGCTCCCAGAAAACAAGGGGAGAGGCCACGGGAGGGGGCAGGGATGTGTGCATGGAGCGTGGAGAAGGGATGTTTGTAGCCCATAGCCCCAGACACCTGTGGAATGTTTCCAGGTCCTAGAGGAGAGTCTTGTTTGGAAGTGGAAGTGGGGAAGGTGACCAGGAAAGAGGGTACCAGAGCCCGATTACTGTCTACAGTATGGCCATCCACTTCTCTCTTTCCTGAGGCTTCAATTTTCTGTGCTTTCAATCACCCACCACCAGCTATGGTCTCAACATACTGACTCTAGGAGGGCTGGACCAGGAAGCAGAGAAGCATCGGGTAGATTTTCGTAAGAAGACAGCTAGGCTGGAAATCCCTCATCTGAGAGCTCACTCCAGGCATAGGCCTTTCCTAAAATGTCTGGGGCAGCACTGGCCAGATGGGACAGGGGAGGGGGTGGTGATGATAGGGGGTAGGGTTGAGGGTGGGGATGGAGTAAGGGTATAGAGGGGGGTCAGGAGTGGTTGCTTCCTGCTCCTGCTCTTACCGCGATTACTCTGGAGTGCCGGGGTTGGGGTGTTGAGCTCTCGGAGCACAGCCTGCACACTTCTCTGGAAGTCCAGCTCCACATCTGAAAGCAGGGGAACCTTGAGGTCAGGAGCTGTGGGGCTCAGCCCATCTGAGCTCACTGCTGCCCTGCCCCCATCCTGTTTCTTTAAGATGAAGTAAAAGACGTAGAGACAACAGGAAAGTCAGACATAAAGTAAGAAATGGTAAAACACCCCGAGGCAAAACATAGATGAAGAGAAACAGGTTAAGTTATAAGAACTAGCAAGAAAATAGCTAAGCTAATGCCAAGCATTCAAATTAATAAGTTTTTGTGTCATAATTTGGGAGCTGGTTGGTGGCCTAAAAGAAAAAGCCTGCTACAAAGGTGGGCATGTGGAGGTCAGAGGGTAACCTCTAGGAGTCTGTTCTGAGTGTCTGTCATGGGTTTTGGACATCCAGTTAAGGTCAGCAGGCTTTCAAGCTGTTTCTGCCTACCAAGCCATCTCACCAGCCTAGGTGGAGAGACTTTGTTTGTTGTAGAGACAGGGTTTCTTTGTGTAACAGCCCTGGCTATCTTGGAACTTCTTAGTAGACCAGGCTGGCCTTGAGCTCACAGAGATCTACTTGCCTCTGCCTCAGAGTGCTGGGATTAAAGGGGTGCACCACCACACCTGGCTCAGGTCAAGACTTTGAATCCTAGATAGATAGGGTCTACATCCTTGTTCACAGGGGAAAGTCATAGAAGACATATGGGGGCGGGGTCATCTACAATCCTTATGTAACCCTTATGTTTGAGAGAGGAAAATGAGGCAGAATAGAGAGGCAGAAAATGACGGGGAAGCGAGATGGGGAGAGCCCTCACCCTGAAGTCTACTCGGAGCCGAGAAGCAAGAATTCTGGCAAGAATACATGCTGCAAGGCTGTCTGCCCAGACCGCTATTCCTCTCTTACCCAGACACTTCTGGTTAAACCAGCAAAGGCTCAGGTTTAGGACCTGAATGCATTTGATCTTGGGTCAGACTCACTCCCTTCCCGAGCCGGAGTCTAAGAGCCTTAAACAAGGTGTTACCTTTGTTCCAGGTAAAGACTCCTAATCCCTGCAATCCAGACTGTGATCATACGGAGTGTAACCCTTGAGGAGCTCCTCAGGACCCCTCCCTCCGTGAGCGCTCTTAGGTTCCTTAGTCTGTGACGTTTTCCATGCTGAACAAAGATAATGGCTTCAAAGCCACCAAAGTCCTATATTCAACAGTTGTAAAGACAGTGGAGAGGGGCTGTTTGGGGGAATCTCACACCCATGTGCTCGGGGTGTTTTGTCTTTCTTTTTGAGCACCTCTTTTTTGTAAACCTCTATAAAATATCTTTATTATTATTTTTTTTTAAGTCAGCTGGGCAGTGGCGGCACAAACCTCTAATCTCAGCACTCAAAAGCAGAGGCAGGTGCATCTCTGTAAGTTCAAGGCCAGCCTGGTCAACAGAGCAAGTTTCAGGACAGCCAGAGCTACGTAGAGAAACCTTGTCTTGAAACAGACCCCCGCCCAAAGTCGCATGAATACTGTCCCTGGTAGTGAGAGCAACATTGCTCGATTTACCCTGTCCCAGGTGGTGCTAGTGACCCTGTTTCACACTCCTCTGAGTCTCAGCCTTGGCCTCTGTCCTGACTCTGGCTTGTCCATACCCGGACACTTCAGCTCAGAGAGAATCCCCAGCCTTCCGGACTCCTTGCCCCTGTGATACATATGAACCTGACCTGCCTCCAGCAAGAGCCCCACTGAGTCTTGGGAGTTTCTGCTGAGTCCCCACTCTGCTCTGAAGCTGGGAACCCCAGACGTCTTTCTGCATTCTGAGTTGAGTCTGCTTTCTCTCCCTTGCCAGTCTTAAATGAAATCTTCCTCGCCATTTGACAAGCCTCAGAGTAAACTTTATTTTCCTGCTGAAGGCTATGCTGACATGGCAGACAAAGGAAGATGGAGAATATGCAAATGATTTAGCAAAGCCAGGAAGCCCTAGACCCTTCCTGCCCCTCTGCCAGGTCTGTAAGTGATGCTGTGCTGGGAATCTGCCCAGCTCTGTGCTTGCTGGCCCTGCAGAGCACAGCGGTGTTTTTCTCACTTGTTCCCAAGAGAGACATCCTCTGATGGCTAATTTTGGCTCCAGGTTCCTCCACCATCACTACTACACTGTGGAACTGTCCTCCGGATTCCTCTCAGACACCGCACGCACGCACACATGCACGCATGTACACATGCACACGCACACACACGCGTGCTCGCACACACACGTGTGCGAGCACACACGTGCACACACACCATCCCCTAGCAAGTCAGCCCTCACAGTCAGGCTCTCTGCCTATTCTCTGTCTCACAGGTGTTTCCTTGAGCAAATCCTCACACATCTTGGTGTCTGCTTCCTGGAGGAGCCAGGCAGGATGGGAAGGATGGAATCACTCCCCACGAGGACAGATTTCCCTTGCTGTAACTTCCCGCCAAGACTGTTCCTGTACACAAATGATTTATCTTCTCTAGTCGACAGACAACACAAACCACACACCTCAGGGCTTCCCTTTTTGACTTGGCTGCCAAGAGCCTCACAGCTGAGTTAGAGTCCAGTCCCAAACATCAGCTCATGTCAAGGGGCTGGGGCCTCTCTTCTTGCTTCCTCTTCGCTGCCCCAGCTTTGTGTTTTGTTAGACCTTAATAGTCTCAGATTCCTTTAGCAGGCTAGGGGCTACATATGTCAACAGCAGCAGGTGGTGGCTCAAAGTTGAACCACTGAGGCCAAGCTATCCTCCGCCCTAGTGGCCACCAGGCAGCCTCTCCCCATGGCTTTGAGGTGGGCAAGTGTAAAGTCCGGAGATGATCACCATCTCTAAAGTGCTCACTTTCCTCCACCTCTCACTCGTCTCTGTGAGACGCTTGTCACTGTCAAGGCCTAATTCCCAGCTTCCCCCAGTCTGAAGGTGATAATGGCCAGGGTTACCCACGGGAACACCTTGCTGAGCAGGGCCATAGCTCTCCAAATTTGTCAGGAAGCCACTGGTCCAACCTGCCCTCCCATCTAACCATCTCCACCTTGCATGAATATTTGATGAATTAATGCAAGGTAAGTTATTAGTAAATTAATTGATATTTTCTCTTTCTTCTCCCTTCTCCCTCCTCTATGCCTTTTCAATCTTTCTCTTTCTTTTCTTCCCACCTCCTTCCTTTGTTCTTTCTTCCCATGGCTTCCTCCTGATTTCCCTTCCTTGATTTTTTTCCTTCTTTTTTCAATCCCCTTACTCTTTCCCTCCCTCCTTTCTGTCCTTCTTTTCTTTTCCTTATTGTCCTCTTGATGTGGACTACATAAAAAAATTTAAACCAGTGATGGTTCTGATCTGTCTGTTTTTCATGTTCCAGAGAAAAGTAGAGAAGCTGCCAGTAGGCCCTGGAGATAGCTCAAACAAATACTGTTTTGAGAGCCTTCAAAGCCCACCCAGACTCGAGCTTTGCCCACAGCTGGCTTGTTGACGTGGTCTGTTCGGGCTTGTGTTGTATTTTCTGAAAACGAAATCAATTGCTGATGTTGTAGAACCAGGAAGTTTGTCTAAAAGTTGTGTGCCTGGCATCTCTTGCAAGTCTGAAAGTCTGTTGACCCTGGGAGTGAGTCTTTCTGACATGGGGTGATGGGCAGGGGCTGGAAGCAGCTGACAGGATGTGGTGCGATTCTCTGCTTTTCCCCATCCTGTCTCTTCTGCCTTCCCTGGTTTCCATTCTCTGCCTGACCCCGAAGACCCCAGTTAGCTAAACGAGCTGACCTGGGTTGTCCAAAAAGAGACAGAGTGAAGCGTAGTGTTCTCAGTTCCAAGAGGCTAGACTCCTCAAGACCAGGAAAGAAAAGGAGTTATGGGGTCTCAGGGAAAAGGGCACCTGCGCACCAAGTGAGTAGTGTTGTGCCATACATAATATTGGATGCCATACATGAACCTCCTGAATCAACTTTGGCCAGAACACAGGAATGGCCCCCAAATTAGCCTTTAGGCCATACAATTCTGCACAGCTGGTTTTGGAGGCCCCAGTCAAATGGACAGAAGAGCGCAGCTCTTCCCAGGCCTTGCAAGCCTAACTCTAAGGAGAAGGAATATGCAATAAGGGATGACACTAGAATTCATAATGATCTAGGTATTGCTGGATATTACAATTAGGCATTATTCACACTTCAAGACAATGCTAAATGCTCATCAACTCAAGAAAGACAGGAAGACTACATTTCCCAGACTCCCTTGCTGTTGGAGACCTGTGCAGCAAATTCTGGCCAATGGAATGGGTCAGAATGAAGCCTGTCATTTGCAGGGCTGGTGATAGAATTTCCTGCCCTGCATCTAGACTGTTCCCGTTCAGCAGTGGCCTTACAGAATCCATGCTGGAGATGATGGTGCCACAGGACTGAATCCTCAGACCCTGGATGACTGCTAAGAGTCCAGATTGGAGTGTGATTAAATGTGAAATGAGTATTGCGCTGATAACTGGAGTCATTTGTTACAGCAGCTAGCATTCCTTGACTGACTCATAGATAGACTTGACTGACAGAATATTTCTCAATGTATAATTCATGTGATTCTGAGCAAAAGTCCCATGACATTGTCAGGGACAACATTGTTCTGTTTTTTAGATTCCAGGTCTTGTCCTGTTTTGCCTCTTTAACTGTCAAATGTCACATATACAGGGACCTTAAGAAAGCTGGAGAGGTGGCGAAAGGATTAAAAGCACCGGCTGTTCTTTCAAGGGACCCAGGTTCAATCCCCAGCACCAGCATGGTAACTCAGAACTGTCTGTAACTCCGGTTCCTGGGAATCTGATATCTCCTTCTGGTCGCTGTGGAACCAGACACTCAAGTGGTGCACAGATATACAGTCAGGCAAAACATCCATTCACATAAAATAAAAACTTCTAAAAACTGAGAAAAAGCCCAATCATCTAACTTATAGAGGGGACCCTAGAGCCACCCCACCATTTTATAGGTGGGGAATGAGGCTTGCAGGGGGAAGGTTATTTATTCAAGACCGCAGGACTGTTAGAAATAGAACTTGCTTGGTCGTTTGCTCTATTTGAAAGTTGCCATCTTCAAAAGAGCCAGACTCGGGAAGACAAACATTGCATGTTTTATTCCATAGGCAGAGTCTGGATCTAAATGTGTATGTGCGTGAGAGAGATGAGCGGAGGGGTATAAGAGGGAAGGAGGACTCTAACGGGGGCGGGGGGGACAGGAGTCGATAATGAAGCATATATCATAGGGTGCAGTAGGGGGAACTTTAGGAACTGGGGATAAACACTAGCAGTTCTTTTTTAAAATTATTTTTCTTTTTAGTTTTTCAAGACAGAATTTCTCTGTGTAGCTTTGGTCCCTGTCCTGGAACTTGCTCTGTAAACCAGGTTGGCCTCAAACTCACAGAGATCCGCCTGCCTTTGCCTCCCGAGTGCTGGGATTAAAGGTGTGCGCCACCATCACTCGGCAGCAGTTCTTATTATTCACCATTCAGCTACACAACCTGCAGGCAGTTGAGAACCCACATACATGTGTGTGTGTATTTGTTACTCTCTCAAGACTCTCACACTCGGGGTGTCACAGTCCCTGGCTGGGCAGATGACCATCCGAGGCCTGGAAATGCACTTGCCCGCGGCATTGACGTTCCTCACTGAGCAGTCAGGCCTCCTGGAGATGCCCTCCCCCATCCCAGACACTGACCTGAGCTCTCCATGGAGCCTGTCTGGGGTGAGGAGGATGTGGTTGTCTCAGGCAGCAGAGAGGAAAGTAGAATGGTGGTTTCTACGCAGAGATTGTTCTGCAAAATAAGAGGCAGCTTGTTAGCGAGAGAGCTGGGAAAGACAGACAGTATATCCAGGATACGTGCCTGCCAGCTGCAGCGCAAATCTCCAGGTAGGAAACATGGGGCAGCTCCAAACCGGAGGAGGAAGCTTGTAGAAGGAAACCAGAACTCAAGCAAGAGCCATGAAGCAACAAGGCTCGTTTTCCCCATCCTTCTATAACCGGCCTGGCAAGACGCCAACCCAGCAGTCAAAAGTGCACACTGAAGGCTCTTAGAAAGAGGTCAAAAGTTGGGGGTGGGGACGCCTGAGAGATGACTCAGGAGTTAAAAGCACGAATTGCTCTTTCACAGGACCAGAGCTCAGTTCCTAGCATCCATAGTGGACTGCTCACAACCACCTGTAACAAGTCAGATGCCAGGGCAGCTAGTACCCTTTTCTGGCCTCTATGGACACAAGGCACACATGTGGTGCATATGTATATAAGCAGGCAAAACGCATATCTTTTCAAAAAGGAATATAGGGACATCAAATAACATTAAATAACACTACCAATCAACTGAATTTAATCAACACTTATAGAACCCTATATGCAATAATTTCAAGTGTACATACATAATATGTCTAGCAGGATAGGTCATGAACAGGCTGTACAACAAACCTTAACAAACTTAAAATAATTGAAACCATACAAAGCAAGCTCACAGACCCTAATAAAAGTAAACTTGAAATAAAAACCATAAATATAACTTTTAAAAAGTCTTCAGATATGGACTGGAGAGATGGCTTAGTGATTAGGAGCATTGGCTGCTCTTCCAGAGGACTTGGGTTCAATTCCCAGCACCCATATGAAGCTCACAATTGTCTATAACTCCAGTTCCAGGGGATCAAGTACGCTAACACAGATATACATGTAGGCAAAGAAAAACCACCAATGCAGTATAAATACATACATATATATATACACACATATATGTACATATATGTTCAAATAGTCAGGTATTGGTGACCCACACTTTTAATGTTTTAATCTCAGCACTTAGGAGGTCTTCAAATATATGAAGCAATATATTTATTTTAAAATGTTTTTAAAAGATTTAACTTTAGTGTATATGTGGAGGGAGGGGCGGGGGCTGTGCACCTGCATGCAATGCCCACGGAATCTAGAAGAGAGTATCAGATCCTTGGAGCTGGAGTTGCAGGCGGTTGTGAACCACGCAGTATGTATGCTGAGAATCAAGCTTGGGTTTTTTGTAAGAAGAGTAAGTAGCTGCTGAGACATCTTCTCAGTCCACCAACGTGTTTCTACATCACATAGGAGCTCAGAAAACAGGGCTCAAGGGAACATTTCCCAACTCATTTTATAAATCTCTTATTATCCCATCACCAAAACCAGGCAAAGAGAGTATCAAAAACAAACAAACAAACAAACAAACAAAAAAACAGAAAAGAAACTACACACATATATGGAAAACCCCTCAACCAAGTATTAGCAATATAGACACAATGGCTTAATGGATTTACCCCAATCATGAAATACTAGTCAATATTTGAAAACCAATCAGTGTAATCTACTATGGTAAAGATTAAGAGGAAGAATAAGTTACATGATCCTATCAATTGAGGCACTGAAAGCGCTTGACAATTTCAGTGGTCGTGGATGACAAAAGCTCACAGACAAAGCAGGGGGACTTCATCCATCTGATAAAGAACATCTGTCAATACCACAGCACAGAAGCGAGGGTGTATGTCTGCCGCCACCAAAGCTATTCAGTTTGACATTAGAAATCCCTGCTGGTGGAATACAGAGGAAAGCAGGCATACACACCAGATTGCTTCGCTGTCAATGGACTGCTGAGCTAGAGCCAGCCCAAGGTATACATACTGGAAGAGGAAATAAAGCTGCAGATAATAGAACTCTGTCTGCAGGCATCGGAATACTTGCTTAAAATAATTGATAGCCAACAAATTGTTACAGGTTTAGGAAATCCTAGAACAAGCAAAATGAATTTGCGCATATGTTTACAAACACACACACACACCGCACACACGCACCAGTGTGCACTTCTGGTAAGCAGAATGGCTCAACCAGTGAAGGTGCTTGTTCTCAAAGCTGACAACCCGAATAATTCCCAAAATCCACATGATGGAAGGAGAAAGCTGATTCCTGCAGGTTGTCCTCGGGCCTCCGTACACATGCAGCATGTAGACATGTGAGCACCCACACAAACATTCAGACAAATGTAATAAAAAAAACTTAAAAAGCCGGGCAGTGGGGTGGTGCACGCCTTTAATCTCAGCACTCAGGAGGAAGAGGAAGGTGGATCTCTGAGTTGAGGTCAGTCTAGTCTACAGAGCAAGTTCCAGGACAGGCTCCAAAGCTACAGAGAAACCCTGTCTTGAAAAACAAACAAACAAACAAACAAAGAAAAAAACAAGCAAAACTTTAAAAAGATTTCATATAACCGGTGAATAACTTAAGTAGAGGCACAAGAAACAAAGTTAATATGCACCGTCAGACATATCTTCATACACTAAGACTAAGTAACTGGAGCCCCTAATTTAAAACATATGATCACTTAAATAGCACCAAAATAAACAAAGAAAAAATGCCAAGGTGCAAATCTAAGCAACGTGTTGAACCTGTAAGATAAGAATTATAAAATGTGTGGGGTGGGGGTGGCACACACTTTTAAACCCAGTGCTCAGGAGGCAGGAATCTCTGTGAGTTCAAGACCGGCTTGGTTTACAGATCAAGTTTCAGGACAGCCAAGGATACATAGAAAAACCCTGTCTCAAAAAATAAAACAAACAAAGAAGCAAAAAATAATGATAATATTAATAAAATAAGAAGGTCTACATCAATAGTGAGGCACATTAGGCCCAGCATCAGTATTCCTGCATCCGCTCTCCTCCTCCTCCTCCTCCTCTTCCTCCTCCTCTGCTAAAGGTTAGGATGTGAGCTAAGGACCACCTTAGCAGCACTGATGCCCGGTGGACAATGGGTATATATTACACTGTGTGATGAATGGTGAAGGAGGGAGATACTGCTACAGGCACAAGTCAATGAATGAGAGAACCAGGGAGGAACTAAGACCTATGGGTCAGTTATGGTTGCCTCCCTTGCCTTTTTCACCCTCCCTGACCCCTGCAAACCTCACAGAGCCTCTTTGGCCTTATGAACACACAGGTAAGGTAAGCTTATAATGAGTGTAAGATCATTTTAAAGAAAAAGAAATGTAGGCTGATTTTCAACAGAAAAGAAACCTCGGCTGGGTGTGGTGGCATTCATCTTTAATCCCAGCACTTAGGAGGCTGAGGCAGGTAGGCCTCTATGAGTTCCTGGCCTAGCAAGCACCAGAACAGCCAGGGCTATGTAGTGAAACAAAAAACAAAACTAAGTAGAAGAAAACAACAATAACAAATCAATTTGATGTTTAATGTTAAACAGAGAGGCATTTACCATCCCTGGCAAAAGCCTGCTCATTTGTGTGTTTATTCTCTCAGAAGGCACATCATCATTTATCCAGTGTTTGCACCTGTTTGTGTGGGTACCAGAGCTACTCTGTGCTGCCCCCTTGGTCCTCCTACCGAGAAACTCTGATCTACTTCCTGGCCTCTGTGGCAGCCGAGGTCAGTCCTCAGGGAAGCTGCTCGCACGGAACAAGAAGTGGAAACAAACAGAATTCAGTTTATTCTCAAAAGGCATCAACATCTTGTTTATCTTCGTAGGAACTAAAACTTACTCTGTTACACTAACAGGTGCCTCCTATTGGTTTCTCGGGAGTCTTGATGGCAGCTGATTGGTCTATGCATGTGCTGTGAAGAACGTGGACGCTGTTGCAGGAGAGGCCACTTCCACCCTCTCCCGAATGACTCCTGTGTGCTCTACCTGCCAGCATGTGACTCCTCTGCCCAGAAGTGAGAACTGAGCCTTGCCAAAGGGAGCAGATGGGTACTTGTCCAGCCCAGGACACCAATGGCCTTTCTGTGATTTAGCTAGGGGGAAGGTGAGGTTTTGTACTTCACCCTTCTAAAGACATGCTTGCTATAATTATCCACTCAGAAGAATGCCTTTTTTACTTTAACAAGTGCCTTCTGTGCTGGCTACAGCCCTGCACCAGTCACTGTTGCCTTCCACCCAAGGGCCAGCTTCAGAAGGCTGGGAAATCAAATGACTTGTGGTCATATTAAATATAAACTAGGGACCCAAATCAGAGATAACTGTCCATGAAAAGGGCATGGCATTTCCCCCTATGGGCTTAGAACATCCTCTCAGCTGACTCAAAGGCCCCTCTGGCTCTCTTCTCAGCTTCTGAACATCTATGAAATACTATACATATGGCAATGCCCAAGAGTCAGAGATAGATGGATGAAACACAGCCTTGTTGCTAGGGACTACTGGTCTACCTTGTACAACTTTCCTTTCTTTCTTATTACTATGAGATGTGTGTGTGTGTGTGTGTGTGTGTGTGTGTGTGTGCATGTAACAGTGCATGTGGAGGTCAGAAGACAGCTTTGTGAAGTCAGGTCTCTCTTTCCATTTTTTCCTGGGTTCCAGCAATCAAACTTGGGCAGTCAGGCTTGAGTGGCAAGTGTGCCTTACCCACTGAGCCATCTTGCAGGCCCAGTCTATAACTTTTTAATGACCACAGCTTGTCTCAAGACTCTTCAAACAGGCTCACATACCTGGCCCACCATTTAACTACTAAGAATAATTTACAGACCTGATAACCACAGCTTGTTTGTGTTGTTTTAACTTTTATCAATCTAATTAGGCTAAGCGATGCCCAGTTAGCCGATAAGGCATTGTATCTAGGTATGTCTGTGAGGGTGGGCATTAGTCAGCCTTCCATTACTTTCAGTAGAAAGTGCCTCAGGAAATTAACTGATGAATAGAGAAGGCTCATTTTATTTAATGATTTGGAAAGTTTGAGGCCACGATCACTAACTACAGTCTTACTTTGGGTGAGGCAGCACATTACGGTTGAAGCAAAACACCAATTTCCCAAACCAG